ATCAGCATCAGCATCATCATCAGCATCATCACCAGCATCATCATCATCCTCATCATCATCACCATCATCATCACATTGCTCATACTTATCATCATCAGCAGCATCATCATCACCATCATCAGCAGCAGCAACATCATCAGCATCATCAGCAGCATCATCACCATCATCACCATCAGCATCAACATCATCATCAGCATCATCATCATCATCATCAACAACATCATCAGCATCACGATCATCATCAGCAGCACCACCATCATCATCAGCATCAGCATCATCATCATCATTATCCTCAGCATCAGCATCGGCATCAGCATCAGCATCAGCATCATCATCACCATCATCATCATCACCATCACCATCACCATCACCACCGTCATCATCATCATCATCATCATCATCATCATCATCATCATCATCATCATCATCATGATCATCATCATCGTCATCATCAGCATCAGCATCAGCATCAGCATCAGCATGATCATCATCGTCAACATCAGCATCAACAGCATCGTCATCGTCATCGTTACCGTCATCATCATCATCATCATCATCATCATCATCATCATCATCATCGTCATAATCATCAACATCGTCACCATCATCATCAGAATCAGCATCATCATTGTCATCGTCATCAGCAGCAGCATCATCACTATCCACATCAGCATCAGCATCAGCATCATCATCAGCATCATCATCGGCATCATCATCCTCCTCACCATGATCATCATCACCATCATCATCACCATCTTCATAATTATCATCATCAGCAGCATCAGCATCACCATCACCACCATCATCAGCAGCAGCATCATCAGCATCATGATCAGCAGCATCATCATCATCATCACCATCAGCATCACCATCATCATCAACATCATCATCAGCAGCATCAGCATCATCATTCTGGACGCCCGAAATGGGTACGGAAAGAATGGGTACAATGCCCAACAGCAGTTCCTGTTCATTCTGAACAGGACTCGCTGTCGGTGTCGCCGCGGCCTGTGTCCAGTCGAGACAGAAGGCCGCCTGCCCAACAGCGGCCGCTGTTGGTTTGGGACAACATTTGTTGTTGGGTATTGTACCCATTTTGTCGGTACCCATTTCGGGCGTCCAAAATCATCATCATCATCAGCAGCACCATCAACATCATCAGCATCAGCGTCCTCATGAGCAGCATCATCATCATCATCATCACCATCAGCATCAACATCATCATCAGCATCAGCATCATCAGCATAAGCATCATCATCATCATCAGCAGCACCATCATCATCATCATCATCATCATCCTCATCATCATCATCATCATCATCATCAGCATCATCATCACCATCATAATCGTCATCGTCATCATCATCATCATCATCATCATCATCATCAGCAGCAGCAGCAGCAGCAGCATCAGCATCAGCAGCAGCATCGTCAGCAGCAGCATCGTCAACAGGTTCATCATTATCATCACCATCACCACCACCACAATCAGCATCAGCATCATCCGCATCAGCATCATTATCATCATCATCATCATCATCATCAGCATCATTATCATCATCGTCACCGTCATCAACATCATCAGCAGCAGCAGCATCGTCATCATCACCATCACAATGATCGTCATCATCATCATCGCCATCATCATCATCCTTCTCATCCTCACGTTCGCGCTGGAAGGCCAGCTGCGCAGGGCTGACTATCCTCCTGCGCCCACCTCCACCCCTTTCTCCTCCTCCTCCTCCTCCTCCACCTCCTCCTCAGCAGCAGCAGCCATTATCGTCATCATGATCAGAATAATCATCATCATCATCATCATCATCATCATCAGCATCAGCATCACCACCATCAACATCACCATCACCATCACCATCACCATCATCATCATCATCATCATCATCATCATCATCATCATCCTCATCGTCATCATCATCATCATCAGAATCATCATCACCAGAAGCATCATCATCATAAACATCATCATCATCATCATCATCATCATCATCATCATCATCATCATCAGCATCAGCATCAGCATCGTCATCATCCTCATCATCAACACCAGCATCATCACCATCTTCATAGGTATCATCATCAGCAGCATCAGCATCATCACCACCATCATCAGCAGCAGCATCATCAGCATCATCATCATCATCAGCAGCAGCAGCATCATCATCATCACCATCCGCATCAACACCATCATCAGCATCATCATCATCAGCATCAGCATCAGAATCATCATCAGCACCATCATCATCATCATCATCAGCATCAGCATCAGCACCAGCATCATCATCATCATCATCGTCATCATCATCAGCACCATCATCTTCACCATCATCATCATCGTCAGCATTATCATCACCATCAGCATTATCATCGTCATCATCATCACCATCATCATCAGCATCAACATGATCATCATCGTCAACATCAGCATCAGCATCGTCGTCATCGTCATCGTCAGCATTACCGTCATCATCATCATCATCATAATCATCACCATCATCATCGTCGCCACCACCATCATCGTCATCACCATCATAATCATCATCGTCATCACCAGCAGCATCAGCATCAGCAGCAGCATCATCAGCAGCAGCATCGTCAACATAGTCATCAGTATCATCATCAGCAGCATCATCATCACCACCACCACCACCATCAGCATCATCATCATCATCATCATCATCATCATCATCATCATCATCATCATCATCATCATCATCATCATCATCATCATCATCATCACCATCATCATCAGCATCATCATCATCAGCATCATCATCAGCATCATCATCAGCATCAGCATAATAATAGTCATCGTTATCAACATCAGCAGCAGCAGCATCATCGGCATCATCAGCATCATCATCGTCGTCATCAGCATCATCATCATGATCGTCATCAGCATCATCATCATCATCATCGTCATCATCATCATCATCATCATCATCATCATCATCATCATCATCGTCATCCTTCTCATCCTCGCGGTCGCGCTGGAAGGCCAGCTGCGCAGGGCTGACTATCCTCCTGCGTCCACCTCCTCGTCCTCCTCCTCCTCCAGCTCCTCCTCCTCAGCAGCAGAAGCCATCATCATCATCATCATCATCATCATCATCATCATCATCAGCATCAGCATCATCATCATCATCATCATCATCATCATCATCATCATCATCATCGTCATCATTATCATCATAATCATAATCATAATCATAATCATCATCAGCAGCATCATCATCATCGGCATCATCCACATCAGCATCAGTATCAGCATCAGCATCATCATCGTCAGCATCATCATCATCATCATCATCATCCTCATCATCATAATCATCACCATCAGCATCACCATCTTCATAATTATCATCATCAGCAGCATCAGAATCATCATCACCACAATCATCAGCAGCAGCATCATCAGCATCATCGTTAGCAGCATCATCATCAGCACCATCATCATCATCATCATCATCTTCAGTATCAGCATCAGCATCATCATCCTCAGTATCAGCATCAGCATCAGCATCAGCATCATCATCAACACCATCAGCATCATCATCGTCACCATCATCATTAGCATCATCATTATCATCGTCATCATCATCATCAGCATCAGCATCAGCATGATCATCATCGTCAGCATCAGCATCAGCATCATCGTCATCGTCATCGTCATCGTTACCGTCATCATCATAATCAGAATCGTCATCATCATCGCCACCATCATCATCGTCATCACCGTCATAATTGTCATCGTCATCATCATCATCAGCAGCAGCAGCATCATCAGCAGCAGCATCGTCAACATATTCATCATTATCATCATCATCACCACCACCACCATCAGCAGCATCATCAGCATCAGCATCATCATCATCAGTATCATCATCATCATCATCATCATCATCATCATCATCATCATCATCATCATCAGCAGCAGCAGCAGCAGCAGCAGTATCATCATCAGCATCATCATCATCGTCATCGTCATCGTCATCGTTATCAACATCATCAGCAGCAGCATCATCATCGGCATCATCAGCATCATCATAAGCATCGTCGTCAGCAGCATCATCGTCATGATCGTCATCATCATCATCATCGTCCTTCTCATCCTCGCTTTCGCGCTGGAAGGCCAGTTTCGGCGGGTGGGGCGAAGCCAGGACGGGGACAACATGTGAGGGGAAGGGCACGGCAGGCTCGCGTCGCGATGACGTCGGCGTTGGTCGCTGGCACCCCGCGAACCGTTCAACCGTTCGCTATCGCCCGAGTCTGAGCCAATGGCGGCGTTCAACCTTGAGCGCCCGCACTGGGATTACCGCCGCGGCAACGCGGCGCAAACCTACTGTAGGGGCCCAGAATGTGAGGAGCCAGCTGTGAGCGGGAGAGGATAGGCCTCGAGGAGCCACAGGAAACCACAGGACGCCCTCGAGAAGCCTCCTCCTCCTCCTCCTCCTCCTCCTCCTCCTCCTCCTCCTCTCCCTCCTCCTCCTCATCCTCCTCCTCCTCGTCCTCCTCCTCCTCCTCCTCCTCATCCTCCTTCTCCTCCTCATCCTCATCATCCTCCTCGTCCTCTCTCCTCCTCCCTCCTCCTCATCCGCCTCCTCCTCCTCCCTCCTCCTCCTCATCCTCCTGGCTCAAGCATGGCTCAAGCGTGGCCCAAGGTGCACAGCACCACCTGCCAATGTGCAACAGGGAGCGTGCCGCCCGAAGGGTGATCGCCTCGTGTAATTCGTCGCCGATGGCGCGGCGTAGTCTGCTCCAGCGCTCTGCGGCCAGCAGGGCACAGCGCTCTGGCTTGGAGCTGTTCACCATACTGCAGATAGCGCCATCGGCTCGGCCTCATCCTCCTCCTCCTGGGCTTCCGCACCCTGACAGTGCGACGGCCGCGGTAGGCCCCGAGCGCGCTGTCTGTCTGGAACGTGGTCCCGCACTGGCTGAGACCAGGTAGACTACTGTGGAAATTCCTGCCGCGCATGACGCAGCAGGCGGCACTCCCTTCGACTCCCATTGGGAGCCTACCTCCTGGGAGCACCTCACCGTGCAGACGGCCCCAAACGATTGCCCCACGCCCGCAGAGGACGAAGTGCTGGATGCTCTGCTCGACGGCTCGAGGGTGGAGCAGACCGGTGCCCGCCCAGGCGTGGCCGCCAAGCCCCAGGCGGACAGCAGGAAGCAGAGCGTTACCACTCTCGAGACGCTGGAGAGCACCGACGAGCTGGACCCCCACAGGGTCAACGCAACTTTCGCGGAGACGCACCCGCCCGGCGTGGACAGCGAGGAGCCGAGCGACACCACTTGCGGGAGCATCACGGGTAACTGTGAGGAGTGCGAGACGGCGCTGCACAGCTGCACCGACTCGGCGCTCACAACCCAGATGGAGACCGACGGCGTGAAAAGTATCAGCCAGATGGAGGACAAGATCGGCTTCCAATCCAACGCGGACGAACCGCCCAACGCTGCCAGTATGGAGCTGAGCGGCACCTCCTGCGAGTTTACGGAGTGCATCGACAGGCAGAGGCCCGTTATGGTCAATGACAGTTTCGAGGAGTGCGATGTGGTGCTGCACAGTGGTATCGCCATGGAGTGCACCACCAACATGCCGATCGACTGCGAGGACACGGCCAGCTCGAGTGTTGAGCAGATCGGCTTCCGCCCCAACATGCTCGACCCACCCCCCCGCGGACAGCAAGGAGCTGAGCGATCCCGCCTGCGAGGATCTGGAGCGCATCGTCAAGCTGCGCCCAGTCAGGGCCAACGACAATTTCGAAGAGATCAACCCGCCCAACGTGGACAGTGAGGACCTGAGCAACACCAACGGTGGGACCGAACAAGCCGCCCTTCAACCTGACCGCGCTGATCGTGCAGCGCGCATGGGCACGAGCCGATCGACCGCGCCATGAGTCGAGGCTGGAAAGGGCCTCGGTGGAAGAGCACACTCGAGGGAACGTGAAGCGTGAAGCCTCGAGGATGCCTCGAGGAAGGTCTTGAGCCTGAAAGGCCGTCGAATGCTGGTTGCACCGAAGGACGACCAGAAGGCAAGGCATGCAGGCCCTGCATGGTGTGCCGTGAGCGTCTCGCCGCCGAGCTCACGCCAGTCTCGGCGTGCCTCCCCCATGCAGGTGGAGAGCGTGTGCAGCCTGCGTGAGGGACGCAGGCAGCGATGCTTCAGACTCTGAACAGGAGCAGACGGGCGCGGTCCACTACTCGCAGAGTGACTACTCGCAAAATGGCCTTGATCCACCGCGCGGGATCTACGACAAATCACACCGAGGAAGACAGGCCTCTTCCTGACGCTTGCCAGCAGGCGCTTTGCGAGTAGCGGAACGCGCTCGGTGAGGGAGGAGGGTGCTATGCTGCTGCACTGCTCGCGGGTGGGGCCCTGTGTGGAGGTGCTTCCCTGCGCCGCCAGGCAGAGAGAAGCATGTGCTCGCCTGGGAGGGCACTCCGTGCTCGGGCCTTCTCTCATGGGTCCTCGAGCACGCATAGTGGAGATCCGCAGGCCGAGAGCCTCACGGGAGGCGCTTCCCCGCAGAGAGCCAGGCGGAGCCTAACGGCCTTCGCCCCCATTCGAATCGGGTCGAGCCGAATCCCCCAACTACCCCCAGATGCGGACTCCTCCTCCTCCTGCTCCTCCTCCTCCTCCACCTCCTCCACCTCCTCCACCTCATCATCATCATCATCACTATGGTCGTCATCATCATCATCATCATCATCATCATCATCATCATCATCATCATCATCATCATCAGCATCAGCATCATCATCATCATCATCATCATCATCATCATCATCATCATCATCATCATCATCATCATCATCATCATCATTATCATCATCTTCATCATCAGTATCATCATCAGCATCAGCATCATCATCAGCATCATCACCACCACCACCATCATAGTCGTCGTCTTCGTCGTCGTCGTCATCAGCAAAATCATCATCGCAACATCCACATCCACCACAATCACATCCCTAGCCACCACCACCACCATCACCACCAACATCATCATCATCATCACCATCATCATCATCACCATCGCCATCATCATCATCATCATCATCATCACCACCACCACCACCATCATCCTCATCATCATCATCATCATCATCATCATCATCATCATCATCATCATCACCATCATCATCATCATCACCATCGCCATCATTATCATCATCATCATCATGATCACCACCACCACCACCACCATCATCCTCATCATCATCCTCATCATCATCGTCATCTTCATCCTCATCAATATCACGATCAGCATCGTCATCCTCATCATCCTCAGCATCATCAGCATCAGCATGATAATAAGCATCGTCATCATCAGTATCATCGTCATCATCGGCATCGTCATCATCAGCATCATCAGCATCAGCATCATCATCATCATCATCATCATCATCATCATCATCATCATCAGTAGCAGCATCATCCTCGTCATCATCATCATCATCATGCTCCTCATCATCATCATCAGCAGCAGCATCGCAATCATCATTATCATCGTCATCATCATCAGCATCACCATCGTCATCATCAGCAGCATCAGCATCAGCATCATCATCACCATCGTCGACGTCATGATCATCAGCATCATCTTCAGCATCATCAGCATCAGCATCAGCATCAGCATCAGCATCATCAGCACCACCACCACCGCCAGCACCTCCCCCAACATCATCATCATTATCATCAGCAACATCATGATAAGAAGCATCGCCATCATCATGCGCATCAGCATCAGCATCATTAGCATCACCAGCATCATCATCATCATCATCATCATCATCATCATCATCATCATCATCATCATCATCATCATCATCATCATTGTCGCCGTCATCAGAATCATCCTCATCAGCATCAGCATCATCATCAGCATCATCATCAGCAGAATCATCGTCAGCGGCAGCTGCATCATCATCATCATCATCAGCATCATCAGCATCATCATCAGCATCAGCATCATCAGCATCATCAGTATCATCATCATCATCATCAGCATCAGCATCATCATCAGCAGCAGCATCATCATGATCTGCAGGAGCAGCTGCAGCATCTTCAGCATCATCATCAGCATCATCATCACCATCATCAGCATCATCATCAGTATCATCAGCATCATCGGCATCATCATCAGCGGCATCATCAGCATCACCAGTATCATCAGCATCACCAGCATCATCATCAGCATCATCAGCATCATCATCAGCGGCATCATCATCAGTATCCTCATCATCAGTATCATCAGCATCACCAGCAGCATCGTTATCATCATCATCCGCATCATCAGCATCATCAGCATCAGCATCATCATCAGCATCATCAGCATCATCCGAATTATTACCGTCATCATCGTCATCGTCATCGCCATCACCATCATCATGAGCATCATCATCACAATCGCCATCATTCCCATCACCATCATCATCAGGATCATCAGCCCCATCAAAATCATCATCAGCAGCAGCATCATCATCATGATCATCATTGTCACCAGCATCATCATCAGCAGCATCATCATCATCATCATCATCATCATCATCATCATCATCATCATCATCATCATCCGCCTCCTCCGCCTCCTCCGCCTCCTCCGCCTCCTCCGCCTCCTCCGCCGCCTCCGCCGCCTCCGCCGCCTCCTGCTCGGCCGCCGCCGCCTCCGCCGCCTCCTCCTCCTACTCTTTTTATCTTTCGTATTCTGCTTCCTCTTAGATTATGTTTCTTCGTATTAGTTGTGTTATTACTAGTATTTTTGGTATTATATTATTATTATCATTATTATTATTGATATTACTATTATTATTACTATTATTAGTACTATCATTAGTATTACTGTTATTGTTATTATTACTATTATTAGTGGTATTGTTAGTTTCATCCTTCTGTTATTAGTGCCATTATTGTTGTTATTCGTGTTTTTCTTCTTGGCACGAGTCTTAGCAGTATTACTGCTATCATTATTATTAGTCTTATGCTTCTGTTTATTCTTCTAGATATTATTAGCATTCGTGTTATTATCCGTAGTATAAGTATTCGTGTTATCCGTCGTCTTATTGTTAATGGTATTAGAATTATTATGGTTATTACTTTTAAACATATTAGTATTATGAGTGTTCCTCCTCCTGCTCCTCTTTCTCCGCCTCCTCCTCATCCTCTTCGTCCTCCTCCTCCCTCTCTCTCCCTCCTTCTCACTCCCGCCCTCCCTCCCTCCATCCCTCCATCTCTCACTCCCTCCCTTTTCCCTCCTTCCCTCCCTCCTTCCCCCCCATCCCTACTCCCACCTCCTCCTCCTCCTCATCATCATCCTCATCCTCCTCCTCCTCCTCCGCCTCCTCCTCCAAGGCAGAAGATGTATGCTAGACCACCTCAGAAAGGGAGGCCGGCCCGACGCTGCCGCACGCGAGAGGCACCAAATGCTTGTGCGCGCAGGCGCGGAAGCGTGAACGCAGGAAATACCTCAGGCAAAGACGCGCGCAGGCGCGAGAACGTGCTCCTAGTCGCTGGCGAGCTTCGCCCAATCAAAACACTGTAGCGCGCATGCGTACAAGCGCGCACACGCCAGCGCATCTCGAAGTGGCTGGAGGGCAACATCGAACCCGCAAGAGACAAGCGCGAGAAGTGCTGAGCCCAAAAGAGATGGTCACCGCCGTGCATCGAGGCAAGCCGCGCCTGTGGCGAAGCGGCAGCCCTCTGAGCGGCAGAGGTGGCGTCGATCGCCTCCGCAGGAGCGTGCCGTCGGAGCGCCACCCCTCGTCGTGCCCCCTCTGGCTCACCCTCCCCAATCCCCCTCCCCCTCCCCCTCCAACTCCCCCTCCTCCTCCTCCTGATCATCCTCCTCCTCCTCCTCCTTCCTGCTCCTTCCTTCTCCTCCTCCCTCCTCCGTCCTCCTCCTCCTCCTCCTTCCTCCTCCTTCCTCCTCCTTCCTCCTCCTCCCTCCTCCTCGTTCCTCGACCTCCCCCTCCTCCTCCTCCTCCGCCTCCGCCTCCTCCGCCTCCTCCTCCTCCTCCTCCTCCTCCTCCCCTTTCTCCTTATACCTAACTTCTCCCTGTCGCACCCCGAGGCCAGTTTTTAGGGCGGGCTGGTCGTTTCGCCTGAGACTTCCTCACCGTTATGGATCTGAAGCGTAAACAGTGACAACATTTTCACAGATGGAGGGCGGATCGTTTTCGAAATGTGGCTCTCGCCTTAGCGCCGCGCACATTCGATTTAAACATTTGCAAGAGCTTCACGGATTGAGGGCAGGTGGTTTTCAAAATGTTGCTCTCGCCTCAGCGCCGCGCATAGTCGTTTCGAAAGTTTGCAATCGCCTTAGCGCCGCGCACAGTCGTTTTTGAAAAATTACAAGAATGACTTGAGGACGGGCCGTTTTCAAAATGTGGCTCTCGCCTTAGCGCCGCGCACAGTCGCTGTAAACATGTGCAAGAGCTTCACGGATTGAGGGCGGCTCCTCTTCGAAATCTGGCTCTCGCCTTCGCGCCGCGTGCATTCGTTTTAAAAATTCGCAAGAGTTTCACTGATTGAGGGCGGCTCCTTTTCAAAATATGGCTCTCGTCCTAGCGCCGCGAACATTCGTTTCATAGATTTGCAAGGGCCTCACGGATTCCCATGATCAACGTACTAGAAATGGTGGTTTGGAAGGGTTCAGCGTTATGCGGGTGCAACAGTTATGTTGATCCGCTGTGTTGGGATCACAAAAACGGCGTTCTGGCACGATTCCAGATCGTCCAGACGCAGCAATCAGGTTGATCCGTGGCGTTGAAATCCCCAGAACAATGCTTTGGCATGCTTCAGGATCTTCAAGTGGTTGTCTTCCTACGA